CACTGGCCCCAACAACCTGTCTAATTACCGCTGTAGATGAAACTGGTCTAGCAAAAAAGTTCATTTCATTCCGAGTGGCATGTATAAGGACATCTGTTTATATACCCTGTTTGTTCAAGACCCACTCCTGTCTAACACGTTTATATAACGTGTTTATCATATTAATTTGTAAACCCTGTCTAATACAGCTTGTTTACAGAACCTGTCAACCACGTCTCCTTAGTACAGGGAGTTGGTGATGCAATAACTATGTTTTTATTATAAGATGAATTCTTTCTATAAGTGAGTTGAATCCCCATTTCTTATTTCTCACCTTACAACCGTCTACAGTGTCAACCTTCTTCACACTGCACGTGTCACCTACAAAACGACAGAGTATAGAGTAAGTCTAAAAGAACCATCCATATGTGATGGTATCCTGTCTAAAATAATTACCACCGGGGATCAATAGTTTGATTGTCATAAACAATAACATAAAATAGAGTCTTAGAAATAGAAGGAAACCTATGAAGACTGTTTCTCCTTACAAAATTGTTGCATTTAAATGGGGACAGTAACAGGACCAATTGCATAGTTAACAACTCCCTTGCATCCTGAAGTTCTTTAGAAGTAGACAGGAGATGGTTTGTACTTGCGGAACATAACGATGTAAAACAATGGTCAACACTAAATTTAGTAGCTAACAACTATCATTAAAATCAACCACTGTACTTTTGGCAGAGATCTGGAAATCTTGTGTCCATTATTACTCAAACCCCTTACTTTTGTTGTTACATTTACATATAAAATGTAATTAGAAGCAATCTCATTTTCATCAAAACATTAAAATGTTATTGTCTAGAAACGTTTGGAGACATTCCAAAAGAATATTTCATTATTTTCCAAAACAATAAAGGAGAACGGAAGGTCACATAAAATTGCCAATCGGAAACAGTTGGCACTTGGGGTAAACGTTTGTTTACGGAAAGTGGCGTCGTTTTCCGATTGATGAAAATACATTTAGATGACGTGTTTGTGTCTCCTATAGATTTTGCTACAAATATACATATCTGTCTTTAATTCAGTTGCATAAAGTAAAATCGACCTAAATTGGTGGGTTTTTTTTATTCTTATTATACAAACATGGCGAATTGAAGTTCTGAATAAGGACTTTTAAAGTGAGAATTTATATAGGGCGAATTTTACAGGGATTAAGAAATTCCACTGTTGTGTACTCACCATATAGCTCCGTGATCTGATCCTCGGGGATATAATACGGAAGTCCTGGGAGAGAAACAGTGGAGAGATTATTAACAAAACCCAAAATCTCCAAACTAGCCACCATCGAAAATGCGCTAGGATATCGCTCCTGGTCATCTCATGCCAAATTAGACTCATTATGTTACAGCTAGTGTGTGCGTTTCTTTTTCTCATATCAGCTCATATACAGGTTTAAATCGCATATACAATATTATTATCTTTTACTTGACCCTGATATACTGGCTTACATTAGATATAATATGAAAATTGAAAAGTGGTTTCTTGAAATACCCTGCTTGCTTCCAAAGTAGGTCGGAGCTGGAAGTGTGCATCATGTTTAAATTTGCAACCATGGGAAGTTCAATATGGTAATTGGAACTGAAGTTACTTAGGTTTGATACAAAATACCTAGTCTTTCTCCAGACACGTGTATAAAGTTTAACAACCACTTACGATGTAGTCATATGATTCTTCATACAACGCTCCAACATTAGTCAGAAGGACGGTTTCTCATCGGCTCACAAAGTCGAATAAGTCCCTTACACTTGTCTTTTTCCTATCCCGTTTACTGATTAAAATCACAGAATAATCATGCATATTTCTGGTACCTCTTTAAATATGTTGGAAATATCTCAAACACTTACCGGTATGTTTTGTTTCATCATAATCGTATATGTCACGAAGTAGGCGACATTCTGGCTTCATCAGATCATTCAGCTGGTCAGTATACCTGGAACAGGAACACCACATATATTAGGAAATGTTGTACATACCGACTACAGCTGCAAGACCATTTTCATTTAAAACAATAGAAGACGACCTGTGTAGTCTACGCCAAAGTAGGTATGAATTCACATGTTCGATAAGTCAGGTAGGTAATTGACGTATTTAACGTATCAGTCAATTATACACCTGGATAGATGAACGTAACACGCACTGATGTTTGCATCATGAACATTTAGTAATAGAAAAAAACATTTTCTTCGTCATGATAAGTTGTGTCATGGTGCCCTTTACTTTCAAAGAAAATCTAAACTGAAGCAAGGAAACATTCTTGAAACGAGTTTCCTGTCTCTATGAGATAGAACAGACGTGGATTTGGATGAGATAGAACAGACGTGGATTTGGATTAGATAGAACAGACGTGGATTTGGATGAGATAGAAGAGACGTGGATTTGGATGAAATAGAAGAGACGTGGATTTGAATGAGATAGAAGTGGCGTGGATTTGGATGAGATAGAAGAGACGTGGATTTGGATGAGATAGAACACACGTGGATTTGGATGAGATAGAACACACGTTAATTAACGTTAATTTAGTGGTTCTTCTTCTTTGCTCAGCCATTTTTATTGCGTTTCTTTTTAATTTGCTATGCGAAACATTAATTTATCAATTTATACATCCATAATATCTAATGTAAATCCGTTAAATATATTGTATAAACAAATTATGTATCAAACATTTTCTGCAAACCAAAGCAGTTTCGGCCAATAGCACCTTACCATATGTATACATCAATGAAAATACCTTAACGACTTGAAGCTCTACAGAAGAACACAATTCTGAAGTTAAAGTCATTTTACAATTATTGACATAAACAAAAGAACAATACCGTCTTTGATAAGTTTGTAACACGGATTCTGCTTCATCAGTTGTAACTAACTGATCTAAGATGAGCATCATAAAAGTGACATCCACAACTTCCATTTTTTTCATACAGGAACGTGAACGTGCAGATGAAGTGAATTGCGATGTTATCATTGTGCAGTCGGCCCTCCTAGAAAATGGGTGTTCGTGACTGTAGATAAGTTGTCGCCCAGCACTTGAACGACGATGCTCGGCAACCCTTTTTGAACATTTCTCAATTAGTAAAGCACTGCCATCATCCTTCTGTGCGTTGAATCGTTCTTCTGACGTCCATAACGAAAACTCCCCTACCGATCGAGAAGGCATCGGTCTATAACTGGATCTGTTTCATGTTTTAATAAATCGCAAGCCCGTTCACTGGTTTGAGACCAGACCATTTATTTTTTTATTTTCTTGTAGGCATTAACGTAAATCGGTTATATTTATTCCATGAAGCCCACGGCATAATGTCCTTTTATGTTGTAAATTGTTTGTTATTAGTGATCTTAATATAGATATTCCCTTATTTGTTCAATATCGAGGTGACTATGAGCACAAATGAGATTGCTGGAACAGCCTAACGCCACCAAAATAGTTGCTTCCAACGAATATCTCACGTTATTCGAGACGGGCAAGGAAGATTCAAAATGATACATAAAAATGCGTTCATAGCTCTATGAACGCGATTTCTTCTTGCAGTGCTTATAGAGGAGCATGCAGTGGAAGTGTAAATATACAAATATGACTAGTGATACGTGCAAGACGAACATTAACACATTGTAATGTCCGTTGATTTGTACGGAAAGATTTATGTTTCAAAGCCAAAGGTTTTGGTATAGATGTTCTCAACAAGTTTATAAACGTCTCAGATTCCTGAATGACATATCGGAATTTTAAACGCTCCTCGGAAAGCTCATGATCGATTAGACAATACATATCTTTGTCAAATTATAAGCTTATGTACAATACTGTGTAGTAATTAACGAAGGTATCCTTGTTGTTGTGTTTTTGTCACACAAAAGGTCCATGGGCATCAAACACAACCTCACACAGTAAACGCCATTACCGGAACTACCTTTATTGCTTGAACATATTACTACGCATGTACACAATATGGAGGGACCCGGAATCGGACCTAAATCCGGAATATACAACACTCCTCCCTTTTTAACTTTAACCCTTATTAGCTAATATATATGAACATTTAATATTAAATGAATGGCTGGATGTTATTAATAGAACATTAACTCGGTGTAACTCTATTCGAACAAGAACACACACAAATTCAAAATAATGCTTCCTGCACAGATACACAATGTCATGAATTGGGTATAAAAATAAAAAGTGTTGACATGTATAGTTTCATTGCATGTAGTTATACGACACTCTACAATCTCTACAAATCCATTCGCTCTGGGGTCTTCTTAGACCTCTTAGAGCGTCTCAATATGGGTGTCACTCCTGGTGTGACCATCATCAGGGTAATACCAGTGTCCAACTGAACCTGATTCGCGCTTTTGTCCATTGGCACGGACACCACTGATTCGGAAATGTCTGTTTCCACCACCTGTGGTGCATCATCACCAAACAGCGAAGGACTGCGTAGCGATGGAGAACACGAACCAAGTATCTGGTCCGCGTGACGACTCCAACACTGCCCTGGTGCCACTTGCACCTGATAGGACAAAGGCCCAGATTGCGACGCGATTACACCGGGCGTCCATTTATGATTTCCGCGATAGTCATGCACTGAAACTGGGTTCCCAACATCGAATTCGCCATCGTCGCTCACCAGTTGCTCAGGAATACCGTTTCTCGCGAACACGGATCGGAGTACCTCAATAGTATGCGCGGACGTTGTTGACTTCATCGCGATTACTTCGGGCCATTTCGAGTGAGCGTCCACCATGATAAGGAACATGCTCCCCAGGAATGGTCCTGCAAAGTCAATATGGACTCTTTGCCACGGCTGAGTAGGGAACTCCCACGGATGAACTGGGGCTTCCCTCCGCGCGTTTCTATTCTCTTGGCATCCCGCGCACGACTTTGATAGATTCTCAATATCGGCATCATCTATCCCTGGCCACCATACGTAGGAACGGGCCAATGACTTCATTTTGACAAACGCCACTTGTCAGTCTTGTGTCCATGACCATTTTGTGTCCTTCTCCAGAAGCTGATGTAACGGCCTCAACACTGTGGATAAATTCTGGAGGAATTTACCGTAATAGTTGACTAAACCCAGAAACGCACGAAGCTGGGTGACAGTTTCAGGGACCACGGCGTTGACTACCGCGTCAACTTTGTCTTGCGTTTTGTGAAGACCTTCCCCATCAATCACATGTCCACAGAATTCAATCTTCTCTTTGAAGATGTTGCATTTGTCAATGTTTGCATGTAGTCCATATTTCTCCAGTCTACCCAGTACCTCGGCGAGGTTCCTCAGGTGTTCATCGTCAGTGCGACCAGTGATTATCATATCGTCTATGATACATTGCACTCCTGGGATACCTTGTAAGACTTGCTCCATCGTCCGTTGCCAATTCGCTGGAGCGGAGGCTATACCGAACACGAGTCGGTTGTACCGGAAGAGCCCGCGATGTGTGTTGATTGTCAGGTACTCTTTGTCCTCCTCAGCCACCTCCATTTGTAGGTAGGCGTGCCTTAAGTCGAGTTTCGTAAAGTGCTTTCCGCCCGGCAGATTAGCGAATATGTCCTCAATCTTGGGTAGGGGATATTTGTCAACTTGAAGCATGAAGTTTACAGTTACTTTAAAGTCTCCACATGTTCTAATGCTAGAGTCTTTTTTAGGAACTACCACAATGGGCGCGGCCCAGTCACTGTGGTCTACTGCCGTTAGTATGCCGAGATTGACAACGCGATCCAACTCTTTCTTCACTGCTGGTCTCAATGAGAAGGCTAGCGATCGTGCCGTAAAGAACTTGGTTGAGCTCCCTTCCATTAGAATGAATTTGGCCTTCATACCCTTCATACCCTTAAGAGTTCCCAAGGACTGATTAAACACTCCCTTGTACTGAGTTACTGTAACATGAGACGATTCCACCGCGTTTACAGTACGGATCTCCGCTTAATCCAGTTTTATATGGCTCAACCAGTCTCGTCCAAACAACGGTGGCCCCCCTTCTCTATCACGTACAAGGGGAGGTTACTCCTTTGCCGATTCATACCGACATTTACGTCTATCACGCCTAGAGGATTAATTACCTCTCCAGAATAGGTTTTTAGTTTCACCGACGTGGGAGTGAGCTCCTTCCGACCGAAATGTTTTTCAAAGTCTTTCTTTGACATAACCGATACCGCAGAGCCAGTGTCCAGCTCCATGTCCATCCCAGCACCATTCACCATGGGCGTCACTGTGATGGCACTAGAATGACGCCGCCCTAACGAGTAAATACCGAGGCTTGCGATTAACTTATCGTCATGATTGTCGTGCTCGTCGTGGTCAAGCGCATGTACCTTCGAATTCCTACCCCTATTACTTTTCGCCTGCAAACATGCCTTCAAAATGTGCCCAATTTCGCCACATCCACAGTTCCACTCGTCATGACTTGTCTTGGTACACCGCAAACATGGTTTTCGTGGGGTTGGGGCTGACTTATAATTATGTGTACCCTTTTTACCTGGTTGATAGTCGCGCGATTGGCCGTGGGCAGCCTGTACCTTATGAACCGGCACCGATTTGTGCCTTCCTAGTTCGACCGCATCTCGATTGGCGGTTTCTATGGCGATCGCGATGTCTACCGCATTCTGATAATTGAGTTCCCTCACAGACAGTAACTTCTTCTGTATGCTGTCATTTAGTAACCCACATACGAGACGATCGCATAAAGTCTTCTGCAGTGTATCCCCGAATGCACAATGTTCTGAAAGCTTTATGATCTGTGCCACATAATCCCGTACTGTCTCTCCCTCCTTCTGGTCGTGCTTATGAAACCGAAAGCGTTCAGCGATCACTAACGGACGTGGGGAGAGATGTGTCTTCAATATCTCGACCAGTTGCTGGTACGTTTTGGTTGCCGGTTTGTCTGGTGCCGTGTGGTCACGCAGTGTACCGTATGTGCGCCCACCGATAAGGCTAAGTAACGCGGGGGTTTTCAAGTCATCTTCCACGGCATTTGCAAGAAAATATTGCCCTAGCCGCTCACTATAGGCATCCCAAGTTTCAACGGTCTCGTCGAAAGAGTCTATCTTGCCGATCACACGACCTGCCATCCTTTTATGATTTATCTAACGGGGAATACTATTCAAAGTCAAATTTGCACCGAACGTGTCAATCGCACACAACCACGTGGTCGGAATTGACCGTTTCAAACGACAGACTTTATACACTATATCTACCTCGTCAGTTCATTTTAAATCGATGTAATACCTCTCCGTTACCTCCTTGATTGCTTTGCGTGGTTATTTTTCCATACCTCGTCGCCAATGTTGTGTATTTGCCACACAAAAGGTCCATGGGCATCAAACACAACCTCACACAGTAAACGCCATTACCGGAACTACCTTTATTGCTTGAACATATTACTACGCATGTACACAATATGGAGGGACCCGGAACCTGACCTAAATCCGGAATATACAACACTTGTCTTAAGAATTGTTTGATGAAAGACCTCATAGTGAACCCTCATCTCGTTTCATTGGTACATCAGTCCGTGGAAAACATGAACCTAGTCCGGGATAACTATTATAGAACTGTGCGGAATAGCTACCTGGGTTAAAATGGACTCCCTCTTCCTCTGAAGTCATGACAAAACAATCCTTCTGGCTTATTATATTGACTTCTAGCTGCTGCAATCCCCGCAGCTGTTTTAAAACTGTCAAGACTCTCGTTAGTGAGCTTATTTGCATTCCACACATTTAAAACAGTGATGCAGTTTCTTTATTAAACTGTCTTTGGAGTCCAGCATATATCTTAATGGAAACAGTATATGTGTGTTGTCAAAACATCTCAAAGTTAAGCAACTTCCTCTTCAAACGCTGAAACTTTTTTTCAAACTAGACTCTGAGTATCTTGCTGACTTCGATGAGGTCAGTGTTGTGGTTGCTCGTGTCTTATACCAGTATTTGCCTCGAACAATTTCATTAGTTAAAATCTAAACCAGATTCAAATCTTCGAATGTATTGCTGTGCATATATATATATCAAAGGTATGCTGCTGTATATACAATAGCTATATTTTCAATTATAGTATAGCAGTTCTATCTTCTTGTAATATGATGTATATGTACATGTAACTGTTCTGTTTCACTGTGTCTTGACAAAGGAGCGGATCGCTCCGAAAATTTGACAACCTAAACTTGTCCACACTGTTGGAATTACTTCTTTGCCCCATATATATTTATATATATATATTAAAAACATGTCTGTGTATATGCAGCACCGTTATTATTTCCTTTAATTCCTCCAGAAATGAAGAGTTATAGAAATAACGAACAATACACGTACAATTCAACACTATTGAAAGAGAAGAAAATGCATTCACAATCATGGTCACACCCTTACATAGTGATACACACATGCACATGGACAGACACACACATCAGAGAATAATAATAGTACCCACATCATACCATAAAGTACTATAAACACAACACAATGATAATAATAGGTACTATTACAGTCATTATACGGTGATAATTATGATGATAGACAGTATAACACTTATCATACATTACATCACACATTGATATAACAGACATATTTACACTCCTGAAACTACATTATCATATAAAAGTATAGACAGTAATACACTTCTCGTACTAAGCAATCATACAGCATTGCAATAAACAGTATTACAAGCATCACACTATAAATTATACAGCATTAGTATAGACAGTATTACTGTTACATAAGTCTTACAATACAATCATACCTTGAGTAGAACCCGTTGTGCAATGGTATAACAGGAAAGACGTAGGAAATGCTTGCCTACTAATATGAATACAAAAATATATGTATGTCATGTATTAATCTTGCTGATATTAGCATTCCTTAACGGTTCGGGTCAACTTAATTGATATTTCACACGGGGCTGATACGGCGGCTAATAAACGACAAGGAAATTACTAGATTCCCCAGCAGTCAAACAATACTAGACGGTCACAAATCAGAGGTATACTAAATATCCTATAATTTGTATGTGATTAGTTGGAGACAAAACAAAAACATGCTAGTTACTTAATTTGTATATAGAATTATAATTTTAACTCAATAACCCAAAATATGTCATTTAAAGTGTTCCATGTGACGTATTCACAAGTTTGAAGACTATTGCCTTTGGTATAAAACACTGGTTATTTCTGCAAACAACTTTTGTTACAGTAAGTATTATATTATATTATATTTGACAATAGTACTCAACTATTCACCCTGAACAATGCAACGTTCTACTTTATGACTCCAATCACTACATTAGAAAAAGCCCACATAGATATGCGTATAACGATGGTTTATGTCTGTTACATTTCTTTCAGATTAAAAATAGGACATAAGACCAATCAACATACAAAGAAAAGATTAAGAAAATTAAACACTTGATATGTCAGACTTTTCTAGTATATCCATTTTCAGGTAATGAGATTAAGTCGCCTTCAAGCATCAACTAGTGAAATATTTTGTACAGTGACCCGACCCGTTAAGGAATGTGTATAGCACTTGTATTATGTACATGTACAGTTTTTAAAAATTAAGAATCTTTTGATTTGTCATCAGGCCGCTCTTGTCAAACATTATACAAACGTTCCAATAATAATCCTGACCAAGTTTTGTTATTTTTGGACCAATTAACAATCAAAGTTGGCCATCTGTCGTCTTATTGGTTGAGACATTTTAACTTCTTAACCTTCAGCATATCAAATGTTATCTCTTGACAAGGTAATACAATAAACAAATGCGTGATACAAGCTAAGTGAGCCTCTTATTTAGTAACCGTCGACGAGAGGAAATGTCTTAAATGTCACTGCTGGGATCTACAATAACAACATTGCACTTATTCTTGCATTAGTTTCAGAGCACATTAAAATGAACCTGTCAATACAAACCATTATTTCATATGACTATTCATGTATGAGAAGCTGTTTATCACCTCTAATTTCATATACAACTGTATAATATTACAATAATAATGAAATCTCGTGTTTTAGTATCTTATTAAAGTTAGTTCCTATCAAATATTACAAAAACTGTGATCTGATATTAATGAGACCAACTGTGACCACAATCTAAAACAAATACTCACGTTTTATAAGTTTTCTTTGTTTAATGAGATCCCAGTGCTATTAGTCATCATAAAGCTATTTATCTCAAAACCTTCTGTTTGTCTATTATTGATCAACAACGATCATGGAAATCGTGATATTAGGAACAAGACTTTGAATACAAGCTACTATGACAAGTTAACACCGAAGGTTGGGAAAACAAGGGTGTTACTATCAGGAAAGGGAAAGTTGGTGATAGAAAAATTACATCTCATGCTTATTTTACAGCCTATGATAAAGTCTTCCCTGTTGGTCATGTAAGTAAAATCTAGGTATGTAATTGATGTAGAGTCTATAGTGTGTGATAGTTGCACTTTTAAAAGTTTGGATGCCAGAAATAAATTACACTGCCTCATACAGCTGTTTTGTTTTTTCTAGGACTCATCAGTGACACTAGGGGCCAGATAGTTGTAAATCAAAGTTGGTCTAAACTCCTGTAGGTTTTAAATCCAGGAGTGAATATACCATCAAAACTATTCTCACACTATTATGTGTTAATTATTTCTTTAACTGCTTGTTACTTTGTGTTAATTACGAAACAATTTTCAACAAAATAGATAATGTCCAATCAGTACGTGGAGAGTTGATTTAGTCAAAAGGTCAAAAATCTACAAATCAAACACGTTTTGGAATCAGGAAATGGAAATTGATAAGTGGACCATATATACCAAAGCCTTCAAATTTACTTAACAAATCATGTGGAAACGTGGAAAATCACCGAATGCCTTTCCAAATAAATGGTGTTTTTACCGTAAAGAAATTTTAACAACAATAACTCTTCAAATGAAATGTCTCTTTACCGTAATCAATAAGATATACTGCCTGAAAATGTTGAACGTCACTTATATTCAAAGTCTTTTAACTAATATAAGTTAAGTTCTAACTTTTTGATTATTAAATAAATAAAAATTGTTGAACTTTAATTGAAATGGACATGTTACGGTTTATTAATTGTATTTTAGACCCTTGACAAACGACATGTGTTACAATGACAATGTATCAAATTCTGGTGTGATTAAGGCTCGGGGTATTTCACACAGAACAGATAATTATATATACATACAGGTGAGCGGTCACTCACCTGGTCACTTATCACCGCAGGTACTAATCACCATGGTAACCTATTCAGACCGCGCCGGCTAAACATTGTTCTGGTAACGTCAACATCTGTCAAATACCGTTACATAATAAATGGGCCGTGGTATTACCCTAAGCATGTTTACACTCGGACCTGCTCGTACATACATGTTTTGATTCTGAGTGGACGCCATATTGGATATAACGCAGTAGCGAGGTTACAACTTTGGAAGACGCTTACACCTTAGGAAAACACTGCAGGTTTGTAAATATTTGATTATATTTTGTTATATCTCAATGAATGAATAATTCTATATTTTCAATATCTGTGGTTTCACCACGGAATTAGATTAGACCGTTATCTAAGTCCGTGGTTTCACGAGCTCACCGTTGGCATTCATAACAATTGGCAGGAAAGTGTAAAAACCTGGCCTAGTTTGGACATTGTGATCGCTTCTTTAAAGACTCTTATCAATTATAATTATATGAACTGAAATTTTCAAATGAACAACCAATTCCTTTTTTAATCATTGAAAGACAAGTATCTATAAAGAGTAACCACACGGACCAGATACGTGTACGGTTTTCTCTGTTTCTCCCTCATTTACAAATATATTCCATATACATGTACATCTGAATTTTATTTTTTAAACATTATAGCAATTTTATATACCAACAGATGTTTACAGTCATCATTATCATATACAAATACATCTGTGGCATGCTATAAACATGTTTTCCATAAATTTTACTTGAGGCGTATACTTATAGAAATAAAACAATTTAAACTCATAATTGTAATGTATAGGTTTTATATGAGCGTACAACTGAAAAACAATATATGCGTTGTATTTTGATACATTTCATACGATTACTATATAACCCAGGGACGTGTGAATGAATTTACAGAAACGTATGCCTTGGCCTATTCGTGCCTATTGTTATTAGTCGTTTGAGGGGTAAATAAGGAACTTAGGTGAGGTATTTGGTTTGTATGCCCCTGTGCAAAGTGATCATGACTTATAAAGAATACTCAATAAATGCCTGTGGGTATTAATTATATCATTGATAACAACAGTTTTTGCATCTTTTATTATGGCCTAGCAGCCTTTCATTAAATGCCCGCGGGTGAAATATACTATTTATATACAATTTATATAGTCATTGGAATTAGACGAATGCCTTTGCGTCATACATAGGGATGTTTAGGAATTTTTTAAAGAACGGACGCAGATACAAAAGTCAAGTCAAGTACATTTTATTTAAAGTCGGTACATGGTTAAACAGAGCATCACAAGCCTATGCATGGAAGGCTTTTACAACCGACAATATAACGAATAAAAACGGGGGTAGCATTATATAAAACATAACAAATATGCAAATATATGACACTGTTAAAATACACACAGTGTTAAACATATTAAAGATAGGTAGTGTAGTTCCAAAATGAACATACATTCGGGTAAAAAATTTAGGCAAACAGTCAAAACAAGGTGGCTACAGTGCTCAATCCTTGATGATCATGGTTAATTACAAATTCCTACATAACTTAAAACATTCTTGAAAAACTTATCAAACAATGCCTTCAACAAATTACATAATTACAGCGCATATAAATAAAAACAAGCATATACATACAAACCAGATTTGAATTGAAATTACAAGAAATAAAACGATGTATTATAAGGAGCACATACAATTTACACAAAATAAAAGCAAAGCAACACAAATAGCGCATACAAATGATATTAACATACATATTTTACAAGCATAACGACTAACTAAAAGCATCGAAGCAGAATGGATAAAACAGCAGAGGCAGCAAAGGGAGGGAACTCATCTGCAAATCGCACAGTGGCAACAAGAAGAAATTTACTTTTAAAGTTGTGAAATCAATACACTTTTCTGCAAAATAGCAAAGTGAAACAACAGAAAGGGCGATAATCTTTCAGACAGACCAAGTAGCACAGACTGGATGGACAGCTACAATCATCAAGTTGTACTTAATTAATTGATAAACAGATTTAATAGCTGAATGATTAAATCTCATTATCTCAAATACAAACATAACTTGTCTATAGGATGAAAATGAAGACAAGAGACAAACATTTTTTTTTAGCAAAGATCAAGACACTAAACACTATCAAATAACCTAAAATAATTTTTAAAAAAGAAATGTGTTTTGCATTTGACAAAAATATGACACTTTTATATACATACAACCACTTCGTACTTAGACGGAGTTATGCGATATAAACATCGATAGATTCAATTTGTTAGTCTGGAAAATCGTAATTTGTATTTTATTTTCATTTAGGTAAACAATAAACTCTAGCCATGGAGCTATCGAACGATGTTTCGCCCGAGTCCTTGGACAAAATCCAGAAAATCGCTAGAGCCGAAATGTATGGCAGGACTCAACTATTGAAATTAGACAACAAACTTAGAGAAATCGACCATCGAATCCGGAAGCACAAAGACAATAAAACGTACAAATACACGCTCAAACAGAGGCGCAAAGTGACATTAGGTGTCAGGAATATGTTCGCAAAGTACGTCCAGAGGAAGAGCATTCAGGCCACGAAACTTGTCATACAAAGCTTCGCAGAGGCCATGATGTCGCGTCATAGAATGCGACCAGAGACGTCTCGTGATAGAACATCAGCGACATCTAGTGGTAGGATGTCAGCGACAAATAGTGGTGAAATATCAGCGACATCTAGTGATGGAACGGGGACCACGTAAAGGAATGACAAAGATTCTTCATTGAGCAAAATAAAGCATTCTTGAATTGAAACATAATATTTTACAACAAGCATAGATAAAGATATGCAATCGTATGGCGAAAAAAACAATTATCGATGTTTTATTTGTATGTGTTAAGTTTTCAAAATAATTGTTCAAAATAAACGTTCGTAATTGCTATAAATAAATGTCAATTTCACAGAACAAGGCCCAATATCACGAACGCTTGATCTACAGTCATACATCACAAATGGGCCTTTGTAGCTTACTAAATACTTAAGGGCTAGTTGTACATTTATTTCAATACTAGAAACATATATGTTTATACATTTTAAATGTAAATTATTATCTCATGATGATGATTATGTTTTAATTTTAACTCCAGGTGTTTTATCCAGTGTATATACATATTTATTATGTTGTTGTTTGTATTGTTATAGGCTGTCAATACTGCTATTATCGATGGTGCTGAATTAACCTCGTATATTAAAATATTGCCAACAATATCAAATTTTGTTTGTTTTTATGGAGATATAGGGTTTATCTGTGACGCTGGTCTTGTCAGAAATAAGTTACCCAACCAATCATAATGAATCAGTTGACCGACTTAAACCATGGTTTTGAGTTCCTGTGTTTTAAGTAGATAACGGTGTAAATCGATTTTCTGATATCTGAAAACTTTTCATAGTCACTGAAATATTAAGCAAAAATTAAGTTACTAATTTGGAAGAATATCCGAAATACAAGTTCCAAGAACAAAAACAAACAAAAACGACATTCAATAAAATCACACGTTGAATAAGGCAATTCAATGTTCTTTTGGCGTTGATTTAATTATCTAAGTCGTCATCACTCCTTATCGCGTGCACGCCCTCAGTGCTTTGTGCTTTCCATTTCTTTCGACTTTTTTTCAGATGAGAAAATGTCCAATTCATTTTGTTCGACGCCGCTTCCTTTTTCATCATTTTTGCTATAATCGATACTCCTTAGCCGTATGTTTGAGCGCTCAACGAAAAGAAATGTAGGCTAACAAGCTGTCTGAAGAAGATTTGCAATTCTCAAAATAACAAAAGTCAATCACTCTATCAAAAAACATGGGATCAGTACGCCAGATCTATATATATACGACAGGAGTTATGTTTAAACCAAAGTTGGGTGGAAGTTTTCCGGACAAGATGGGGTCTACGAACGAACAGATGGACAATAAATAATAGGTAAGAAACAAGCACATTCTTGTTACTTTGCTCTACTATGATAAGTGATATCATCTATCCGAATCGGTGTTACCTTGTAATGCATGAACTATTTCATGATTATTTATGAGTCATCTCCCTTTGTGTACCTCGGTATATCATACCTACATGCCTATTTTCTCTGCTTGAAACAGGACAGGAGTTATCACTTTCAGATGAACTTCTGCACGTGTAAGATGTAGCTGAGCACGTGTAAGATGTAGCTGAGCACGTGTAAAGGCTATATTGGTTATGAACAAAGTTATTGCCCCTTTGTACGTCTCGGATTTCCTGAAATCTTGAAATAGTGTAGGAAAACATTTGGTAAAGAAGGAATTTTCAAAAGATGAGAAACATAGCTTTCTAATGTTAAAAAGAAACGAAAATAAAAGAAAGTTAATGAAGTTTTCTAAGTAGGGAACGCTGGTGACACTGGTGCCAGGTTAACTAAGTGATTGACCGGGACATTGATCTGAGCATTATGGGACCCATAGTATGTAAGCTCCATTTCAACAATGCAAAACAGTCCTCAGATTTCTTTCTTGTGAAATTGTATAGTAATAATAAAAAAGAAAGAATTGGACATGATTTATTTCATAGTTAAATTATGTACTCATAAAGACTGGTATATCCTCTAGACATCTTCTATATTACAAATAACCACATAAAACCCACTCGTACAACATCGTTTTATAAACCCCGTTTTAAGTAAAAGTTTATCTGTCAGTTAAAACAAAAATTTAATTCAATGATCCAACATATTTATCAAACCCTTGTAATTATTGAGAGATAGAAAAAAGCAACATTAGAGCTTATGATAATATATAATATGTTACAATGACAATCCGTTAATCTCCGGACGCGTATAACATGTGTTACTTTACTAATCCGATTTTTACACTGGTTTTATGTAAGGTGTATTCTGAAACCATGTCTGAACTGAAAAAATCCACTGTGTTTATATATAGTATACGAAAGTTGTATGGTATTTAAAAAGAAACATTATGTTGTTATAACGACTTTTTGATGTGATTTTCGTTATAACGACTTAGTTATTAAATTGTGACTCGTATAGGCTTCCGTAATATATCACAGGCAATGACTTCCTCTCATCACATATCACGTGACCGCTAATCCCAGGTCATCATTACAGAATATTCGTCGCTATCGTAATCCGCTGGGTCTTTTCGGGTGTTTTGTTTGAAGTAACGATCATACAAGAGTTTGATAACGACGACAGCACCACAGATTAGCGCAACAACTAGGATAACGACAGCAACGATGATAGAGGGCGGAGTTGACGCTACATCGGAATCACCTGTAATATAGAGTAACAATAAAATTACATCTCTTCTAAATTACAGCGTATCTGATTGGATTAAGTTGATCACATGATAGGGAAATGAAACGTCACGTTTGGCTCTCTCCCACTCGAGTATCCATGAGCCTTTCTAAAAAAAAAATGAGCCAAAGGCAACACAAATAAATTCCGAGTGACTGAAGCAGACGACAATAATGGCGCGTAATCCTGATCATCTGATTTTCGTTGTGTTATTATTTGGTATACAACTTGGTGATAGGGAAACATGTTTTTTTTTTATTTCCCTTGGTTAATCATGTTTCAGACTTCACACTCGTGAAACATTACTAATCTCAGGGCAGTCACGTACGGAGAGTTCCAAACATGTACCACGTGATAATTATCGGTTAAGATAGAGGTAATTAAATAGAAGTACCTAAACAGTATTCAGGTATTTGTGCAACAGTTTAACATACAAACATGTTAAAGTTTCTTCGTCATGAACCGAGCATAAAATTGTAAATTGATAGACTTGTGTGATACGGATAGCCTACTTCTAATTTTAATAAATTTAAGAAGTTCACATTTCATATTCTTGATTGGCTTGGTTACGCACCGGATATAACAGAAATGCTTGTGTAATTGTTTTTCCAGTCGTTTTTAAATCCTTCGAGATCCGTAAAAGTTGTATTAGTGACACTTCCAGATTCAAAATTGTTCTTTGTCCCCACTTCTGACTCCACTTCCTCGAAACCACTTCCTTCGTACACCGTCACGTGACCACTGGAATCAGCCAATATGAGGCCATCTTCTTGTAATAGTCTAGCGTCGATTGGTCCATTATGCGTTGCGAAAGAAACCGGAAGCTATTAATATAAGATAAAGTGTTTAGTCAATGATATGAATATTGAGTTCCGCCGAATCACTCGTGGATATTTTACACCGGGAAAATTGCTTCAATGTGGTAAAGTGGTAAAGTTATATTTATAGTTAGAGTGGAAATGTTATCCTGATGCCTAGAGATGAAAAGTTATAGCCCTAGTGACACTACGACTGGTAAAGTTGTTCTAATAATAAGAATGTAAAATTTATACTAACATTACGAATTTTAAAGTTATACTAATGGAAAGAGTGGTACATTTTTACTAGCAATACGAATGGTAAACGGAAATTAAAGCTTAGAATGGAAATTTAAACAAGCAATACGAATTGTATAAGAATGGTAAATGTTTACTGACACTACGGCTGGTGAAGTTATACTCAATCTAAGAGGAGATATGTTATACTCACACTACGGCTGGGAAAGATATACTCAAGCTAAGAGGGGATATGTTATACTTACACCACGTCTTGTAAAGTTATAGTCAAGCTAAGAGTAGATATGATATATACCTACACTACGGCTGGGGAAAGTATACCAATGCTAAGAATGGTAAATGTTTAACTGACACTACGGCTGATAAAGTAATACTAATGCTAAAAATGGCAAATGTTTACTGACACTACTGCTGGGAAAGTTATACTGATGCTAAAAATGGGAAATGTTTAACTGACACTACGGCTGATAAAGTAATACTAATGCTAAGAATGATAAATGTTTACTGACACTACGGCTGGTGAAGTTATACTCAATCTAAGAGGAGATATGTTATACTTACACTACGGCTGGCAAAGTTATACTCAAGCTAAGGGTGGATATGTTTTACTTACACTACGGCTGGGGAAGTTATACCAATGCTAAGAATGGGAAATGTTTACTTACACTACGGCTGGGAAAGTTATACCAATGCTAAGAATGGTAAATGTTTAACTGACACTACGGCTGATAAAGTAATACTAATGCTAAGAATGATAAATGTTTACTGACACTATGGCTGGGAAAAGTATACTCAAGCTAAGAGGATATATGTTATACTTACACCACGGCTTGGAAAGTTATAGTCAAGCTAAGACGCGGTATGTTATACTTACACTACGGCTGATAAAGTTATACTCAAGCTAAGAGGGGATATATTATACTTACACTACGGCTGATAAAGTAATACTAATGCTAAAAATGGGAAATGTTTAACTGACACTACGGCTGATAAAGTTATACTCAAGCTAAAAGGAGATATGTTATACTTACCCCACGGCTTGTAAAGTTATAATCAAGCTAAGAGGGGATATGATATATACTTACACTACGGCTGGGGAAGGTATACTCAAGCTAAGAGGAGATATTTTATACTTACACTACGGCTGATAAAGTAATACTAATGCTAAAAATGGGAAATGTTTACTGACACTACGGCTGGGTAAGTTTTACTCATGCTAAGGGTGGATATGTTATACTTACACCACGGCTTGTTAAGTTATAGTCAAGCTAAGACGCGGTATGTTATACTTACACTACGGCTGATAAAGTAATACTAATGCTAAAAATGGTAAATGGTTACTTACACTACGGCTGGGAAAGATATACTCATGCTTAGAATGGTAAATGTTTACTGACATTACAGCTGGTAAAATTATACTGATGCTAAAAATGGTAAATGGTTACTTACACTACGGCTGGGAAAGTAATAACAATGCTAAGAATGGGAAATGTTTACTTACACTACGGCTGGGAAAATTATACCAATGCTAAGAATGGGAAATGTTTACTGACACTACGGCTGGGGAAAGTATACCAATGCTAAGAATGGTAAATGTTTACTGACCCTACGGCTGGTAAAGTTATTCTCATGCTAAGAATGGTAAATGTTTAACTGACACTACGGCTGATAAAGTAATACTAATGCTAAGAATGGGAAATGTTTACTGACAATACGGCTGGTAAAGTTATACTGATGCTAAAAATGGGAAATGTTTACTGACATTACAGCTGGTAAAATTATACTGATGGTAAGAATGGGAAATGTTTTCTGACAATACGGCTGGTAAAGTTATAATAATGCTAAAAATGGTAAATGTTTACTGACAATACGGCTGGGAAAAATATACTGATGCTAAGAATGGTAAATGTTTACTGACCCTACGGCTGGTAAAGTTATTCTCATGCTAAGAATGGTAAAGGTTTACTGACACTACGGCTGGTGAAGTTATACTCAATCTAAGGGGGGATATGTTATACTTACACTACGGCTGATAAAGTTATACTCAAGCTAAGAGGAGATATGTTATACTTACACCACGGCTTGTAAAGTTATAGTCAAGCTAAGAGGAGATATGTTATACTTACACTACGGCTGGTAAAGTGATACACAAGCTAAAAGGAGATATGTTATACTTACACCACGTCTTGTAAAGTTATAGTCAAGCTAAGAGGAGAAATGTTATACTTACACTACGGCTGATAAAGTTATACTCAAGCTAAGAGTAGATATGATATATACTTACACTACGGCTGGGAAAGGTATATTCATGCTAAGAGTGGATTTTTTATACTTACACTAAGAGCTAATATAAATATTAAATCATAGTGAAACATCTAGACGTACTGTTGTCCGATTCTTCCCAGTAGCCAAACAAACTGAAATAAGCCCAGAGAAAGTGTTAATTATACAGGTATTGCAAAACATGTATTTTAAATACACTTAAATACAATATTTATATTGCAAATGACCTTCGAATATATAACATGCTTTAACCCATTGTGGTCCCCTTTGACCCGCCAGCCAGTGCCATGAATATCTGAATATTGCAAGCCAATAAATATAACATTTATTCAAGGAGCAATGTCGATCAAGAATTTCATAAAATTTGAAATACAAGAGTGATATCTCATTGAGTATATAATTTATCTTATATATGTTAACAAAAAAAAATAAAATAAAATGTCATTTCACCAATGCACGCTATGTTGGTCTGTACACTGCAGTTAACACCATGTTATCACTACCTGTTTGTCAACAATGTTTTGAATTTTGAATTTTGTACCGTCGTCCAAATATATGTGACATGTACCTTGTTTATTGGTTATATTTCTAGGTACATCGTAAGTTCTTTTCTTATGGTGCAGACAAAACAGTTCCAATGACACTGACCTTGTCCTGGAAATGGCTATTTATAGATGGTAATTTACCTTGACCTTACCGTTATTAAATGTCCACATAGACGACTTTTCCGATGTCGATTGAATGTTTTCTTACCTTTTAGACGATCTTGACCTTGTCGACATATCAATGTACGCGATTTCAGATATCATTGACCTTGTAACATATTGCTGGCTATGTTATCTGACCTTGACCTTGTAACATATTGCTGGCTATGTTATCTGACCTTGACCTTGTAACATAGTGCTGGCTTTGCTATCTGACCTTGACCTTGTAACATATTGATGGTTATGTTATCTGGCCTTGACCTTGTAACATATTGCTAGCTATGTTATCTGACCTTGACCTTGTAACATATTGCTGGCTATGCTATCTGACCTTGTAACATATTGCTGGCTATGTTACCTGACCTTGACCTTGTAACATATTGCTGGCTATGTTATCTGACCTTGACCTTGTAACATATTGCTGGCTATGTTATCTGACCTTGACCTTGTAACATATTGCTGGCTATGTTATCTGACCGTGACCTCGTAATATATTGCTGACTATGTTATCTGACCTTGACCTCGTAACATATTGCTGGCTATGCTATCTGAACCTTGACCTCGTAACATATTGCTGGCTATGTTATCTGACCTTGACCTTGTACCATAGTGCTGGCTATGCTATCTGACCCTTTTAGTTCCAGTGTCCTTGACCTTGTCAGTATATTGATGACAAAGTTTTTGACATTTTGGATGTTCTTGACCATGTATATCAATAGTCATCACGGTGCTGTGACCTTTCTAATGACCTTGACCTTGTCAAATGAAATTAATTTTGCCATTGTTAGTTCGACTGTTTCCTGACCTTGTCAAAATAAATCTGCTATTGTGTTCCACCATTTCCGCTGGCTTTGTATCGTCCTCCATTTCACTTTGGACAGCTTATCATGTCCGATTGTATTATTCACAAGACAATGACAGATTTTTCAATCCCTTTCAGATGAATTATGTTTATAACAAGAATCGATCAATACCCATATATGATTTGTATGTACAGGAGACTGTCACTAACTGTCCTTATTAGCATATCATTTACAAATTATGTAAATCATGTAGATGATTTTAATAGGCTGTTCATAAAGCGATAGCATGGCCTGTGTATTGTACATCAAGTTAAGGAAGAAAGCGTACATAACATGCGTCCAGTACGGTGACTTATGGCACTATGAATAAATATCTCAATCAGAGTTTTGAATTAAATTACAATTTCAAAATAAATGGTGATCAAATGAAGCTGTAAGAAATGTTTTAACCTACCAGTCTAGAAGTACTTCCTCAAACGACTCGGTGTAAGCAGTCCGTTAAAAACAGTTACCAGGAAAGATATGATAAGCATAAATGACAGGTATATATGCTAATGAGACAAATGATTAATTGAAACATTGCAGACGTCTGAGTGAGTCAATCGTACCGGGAGACATTCGCATGTTGGAACTAACTTCATTTTTCATAATGTTACCACTGTACAGAATACATTCCCATGTAGGGATGCCTTGGATTAACTTATCATTCGTTTTGTCCAACAAAAGTTAATCTTGACAAGCATCTTTTGTGGAAATAATACAACCGGCGCTAGTAATTGACATTGAATCATTCTATGTTGTGTCAAACGCCAAGGTCATAGAAAGAGATAAAAAATAAAATAAGATTTGCACTTTCTAAGATCAACCAATGTCAAGATCACAGAAAGAGGTAAAAGTGTATACTGGTTAATCCAGAACAACTGTGAGTATTACTACCAGTTACAGTATTTTATTTTAAAAACGCAATCTAAAACTTCTGGCCTGTCATAATTTTCAGCAGCCTCTTGCAGATCTAACCCTATTTGGTGATGTTTTTTGATTTACCTTTCAGAAAGGTTTTTAAGGGTTCGCTCTCTGTGTAACTTATCTGGAAGTCTGTCATGGAAAAAACAGTTTTCGGAGATTTTTTTGCAGAATAACCTCTCCGGTCACTGTCAAAAACAGAAAACAACCATTTATGTCATATTTCATATTTTATTACAAAATATTTTTGATGCAAAAATGCACCAACTGGTACAACATATAAAATGTTACAACAATTTTGGAACAAACTATAGGGAAGAAGGGGAGAGCAGCCTTGTACAAGATTTGGTAAGACTACTTGCCCTTATCCTCTCATCATGGTTAATATTTTATTGAATTTTGACAACTTTGGGTGAAAATGAAACTTCAATGAAAATGATAAATGGGGGTACCATAATGGATTATCATGATATTGGCCAACGGTGAGCCCCTGAAATTAAAACAGGTAAAAGAGCACAAAATCAATTTGAAATAAACATTACACCCGAATAGCATTAAATGCTAAGGGGAAACAACTCTACAAATAATTTTGTAATTGTAAAAGATCAAGAGTTTGAAGACTTCAACAAAAAATACAGGTAATTAGCAGCTATGGTCCCTAATTTGAAATGGACATTAAATAATATTTTCTATTCAATGATGTAAAGGTATAATTTATCTTAATGTATATAATCTTAAATATACATTTCATAGCTCTAATAATTTTACCAACAAATTAGAATAGGATCAACTTCATTTCTTTATTTCATCAGAGACCTTTTGAAATATTTTGAAATTCATAAATAAAATTTCTAGAAACAACACATTTGCTTTCCTCTTATATAATCTATCTTCACATCCTATACAAAATATATCATATTCTATAATTACAGAATATGAAAACTTTTTAAGAATTTCATAATAGCACTATAAATTTTAAGATATTCATATATTTCTAATGTACTATATCACTAAAACATAACCTGTAGTCCAGGTTATCAGTACAGAAAACTTCTGTCTGGAGCTCACTTTCCCCAAGGGAGATATTTCCCTCTCAGAGTTTTGTGAATTGCTACTGGAGACACTGGTGGACCCAAGGTATCTACACTAACAACCGGTTCACTGCACACAGATCTCTATATAAAACACATTGCACAGCGTTACACCTTGGTGTAGACATCTAAGACCAGGTGTCGGCTGTCCAGTTAAAACATATGTTAGATGTGATGGTATATTTGTTTTGACACATGAGCAGCCCAAGGTAAGTGATTATGACGAAACATTCACAGAAAGGAATGAGGCCAGGGCGGGGCAGGGGTGGGTGGGGGTAGAAGGAAGGTTTGGAGGTCGGTATGGGAGTGTGGATAAGGGGAGCTTAAGAGGAAAGGGGGGGGGGGGGGGAGAGTTTGGATAAATTGTTCAGAAAAGTAAGTACTAGTTATTTGTTCTAATCTGCTTATTGCCTCATGATCCCTCAAAATCATGTGAAATTCACCCATACAGACATACCATGTACCAGGCCCATGTTCTGGTGAGAATTAATAGGGAAAAGGGACACTACATCAGCTACAGTATGAGTGTACATAGGAGAACTGGCTGAAAAGGGCGATGGAAAGGGAATTAACAAGGGCGTGGAAAGGGAATTAACAAGGGCGTGGAAAGGGAATTAACAAGGGCGTGGAAAGGGAATTAACAGGGGCGTGGAAAGGGAATTAACAAGGGCGTGGCAAGGGAATTAACAGGGGGGTGGAAAGAGGAGAGGGTTGGTGAAATATGGAAGGAAGAGAGGATGTGGAAGGGGAGTTGAGGGATCTTAATGATGGGATTGGGAGCAGAAAGAAGATTAGTGGTTCATGAACTTTTTACAATAATAAATATGAAGCTGAATTCTGATGGCCAAAATTTACAAAACTTTCAAACTGAGGTAGTCAAAACTGAACCTTTCACATATAACATGTACAAAGTCCACATACACATGCTAAAAGTTGATATTGATCATAGTATACATAATTAAAACAAACTGGGCTGGGGATAGACAGGGGCTCATATACCCACACATGTGCATGTACACATGCATAATGTAGATAGCAATACATGGAACAAACGGGGGAGGGGACAGAGAGAGCGGAGCTCGTATCCACACTCATGTGAGGACAGTATCGCACAGGTCACAGAAAGTCATAGTTGTTCAGGAGGAAAACGGACAAAAACGGCTCAAGGACAAGACTACCAACAGTAAAACTTCGATATAGTGCCACTCATTTCATTTGCTACCTCCCTTACTGCTAAAATAATTCATGGTCCCTATATATCCCCATCTAAATATCTCCAAACCCCACTATAATGCCTTTTCTTTTTTGAAATGGTGACAGTATAACAAGGTTTGACTGACAGTCTAGTTTTACATTATTTCCTAACAAAAGATATAATATAAACATTAAAATAAAAAAATCTTTAAAAATTTACATATTTCTACTCCTTGTACATAAACTTAAGACTTGCTGTCCCTCTGTTTTTGGCCTATTTACTTGGAAAAGAAATCTGAATATAAGATGCATAGCGTAAAGTATAATTGATTTTGTTCAAGCTTTAAAAGCAAACACAATACAATGAAATACCGGGGTTTTCTACATACAGAAAGCAAACTGAAATATCAGAAGACTACCATAAATTATTTCATCCTGAATTTTTAACTTTACTTCACATCACAGACGAACCCACCCAATAGATTCTCCTCCGGGGTATCAAATGCATAGACAGGCAAAATAATGATAGGCAACAGACAGCTGTTATAAAATTGATTTGTTGATACACATTTTAAATCAAAATTTTCAAATCATACAACAAAGAAATTAATTGAGATATTGCTTTGGATTGAAAGAGACCTGAAACATCACCTGTGAAGTTACATAGACACACATTACACACGATTTTACGACACAATTGATGAAGAATTCTGTTCTTGTTATAACATAACGGGGCGCTCAAGTGGACCTACATTTGTTGCTTCTGAGAAAACAACATATCATACACTTGTTATTCTGTAAAAAATTATTTCACATCCAATTCGATAAGTAGCTAGAGACCAGCACTTTAGAAATTTAACAGGTTGTTTAAAAATATCTTCTACGCAATGTAAACCTCTGTACTCACATGCAGTAGATATGCAAGAACTTACTAACTTTAGACCAAAAGTGTGATTAAAGTGGAGGTTTACACCTGAGTTACACCTTACATGTGATCAATCATAGCTTAGATTGATAACATTGTACATAATATTTTTGATAACCTGAAATCGATTAAAACATATTACATTGAATATCTGTATGTGAACTTAAGTAGTAAAACTTTTAAACAGTTTCAGGTAGACTAAAAAAAAGATTTTTTTTAAATTAATTCATTTTTTAAAACTGATCAATTTTTCAAAGACAAGTTACCATAATACATCAACTGTAATATAGACTGTATCGAATAAAATGTTGATGTCCACCGATTATTCATAAAATGTCTAAAACATATAAAACTAGAAAGTAAATATCTGCAAGTATAAAATTAAAAAAATTCAAACAACTATCTTTGGAACTTTAAAAATCCATTCATCACTTGACCTATATCATAATTCTAGTTATGTGACAGACAGACATGATAACCCACCGAGGAGATAACTGTCTTTATATCGAAGTTATCCAGCCGTACCTTACAACTGCCTTTTACCATCAATTAGGCATATGCCAACATCTTGTTTTAACATATTTGACAGAGAAAAAATAAACAATCCACTTTCATTATTAGTGCATGTGAGAAATGTTTGCAGGATTATTTTACATAAGAATTGTCGACTCCCAAAATTGTGTCGTTATACATTTGTAATTCCAAAGGATACCAGTCTAGTTATCTTCAATACAAAAATTTATCAAGATGCAAAAGTATGGAATGAAAAAAAACCACCAATAAAATATTTGGTTTAAAGGTACGTTTTGATTTGGCAGTTGATAGATTATAAGTTCGTCTCTTTCTTTCCCTAAAACTCATCAACATAAAGCCACAATTTCACAATAGCTGTCTTCTCGACCTCGCTACACTTGGCAATTCACACAAGGTAGGTAACACAAGTTCAGGCACAAATTACATGTTAATGAATTATTCAACGTGAAACCAAACAATTGCACAAAGAAAGAGATTTGCATACATAGGTGGAGCAGGGAGACATAAGATCATGTCGCCAGCAACTTGCATAAATATTCAGCAGTTTCATCCTTACATAGTGATACAAAACGAAGGGGAAGCAACTGTTAAATTTGACTGCCTTTCCCTATTTATTTACATATCGCATATCCTTTTACACAGGATCCCAACCTTTCCTAAAATAAACTCTTGCAAGTTGATTTAAATACATGACCCATGTAGATTTGTTAGGGGAAGAAAAGATATGAAGTCTGTTGCTTCATCAGCTCATGAAAAACACCTTCAATCAATAAAATAAAACATTTTACATGGATTTTTTAAAATTAGCATATCTTTTGTTTAAAAAGAATACTTATAGATTTGTATACTTAAAATAGCACTATTTTATAAATTTTAAAATTAAAGTAAAAATCATTTTCATCTTAAAATCCTATCTGGCTGATGAAGATACAAATATGTAGAATAGAATCATGTTCATTAGTTTGTAAACTACTGTAAATCCCCTGTCCCTTCAATCACCATTTATGAATATTAATTTAACTTGTCCCCATTGTAAATGTAAACAGAGGTACAATAGCATAAACCTGGTTTTAAAATCTTATATCTGAATTAAATGTGATCAGGGGAGACAACCTTTACACTCCACACAAAAGGTGGCATGCCATCTATGTAACGCTATTCCATACTGACATGACATTACTAAAACTTACTTGTCAACCTTTGGTAAATATAAAATGACCTGTTTTGTCAAGTCAACTGTCCATCTGCTACAGAAGAACATGACCTGATTATACAGGATACTGCACACATCATGATAAATAAACATGCAAAATCAACGAATAACGACCCCCTCGTAAGACAATTCCATGCATATTTTGGAAGATTTTGCAAGGAAATGGTTGATATCTGTTAGTTTTCAGTATTCAGAGGAAGATTATATAAACTACTTACATATTTTTTGCTGTAAGAACAATTAAGATTTTTCTGCCATTTCATTCAACAATATATCGTGTACAAACCAATATGCCCAGATAACAATTTTAAAAGTTTTCCTGAGATCCTTTTCAAATGAACTTTGTCCCAGAGACAGAAGACATTTCAATTGTCCTTTGCTGCTAAGCCATAAAATTTGTAATCAAGACTTTTGGTCCAATTGAAGGTTTTACAAATTTACAACCTGAATGTCAACAGTTATGAGCCCTGGAACACATCATCACAAAATCATAAACAGTTTTGTTTGTGGAAGTCTTTGATTAAAATCAACACATGGAACCCTATCAACAGTGGTTGGAGTACAGAAGCTGAAAAGTGATCGGTTAACCCCAATCATCGAGCTTAGCCACAACTCCATTTGTTCTGGAAAACCTACTTTAGGCCTTCAAAGTCTTTCCTGAAGCCTTCAAGAAAAGTTTCTCAGATCATTATGTGCCCTTCCAGCGAATTCCTGCCATTTTATCCTGTGAAACCTTATGTATCTGGCAATTGTCATACATCCCAAACACAGGGCTAAATGGCTAAGGGTTACCTCCCCTGACACTATTTAACTTCAGTTTATGTAATCTGGTTCAGGCTGTCATCACATCTGTTGTCAGAACCATTGAATGTCGGGGCCAGGAGGGTAATCACATTATACATTTACTCTTTAACACAATCCACCTAGCCGATTCCCACAGCTAATCCACATGATCCAGGCAGCCTTTCCACAACTCATGAGATTCTATCAAAATGTATCATTTCCTGACACTGTCTCCCCGACACTGTTTTTGTGAAACATTTCCACAGGAATACGGGCACATGGAGATTTTCATCACATTACGAAACACAACGATTTATAGTACTTTTGCTGGCCTTGATAAATTAATTTAAATAATGAAATTACATATTTAATGAGACTGATTTTCAGTGTGTGTCCACCATATGAACTTGAACATTGGCTATGACATTGTTGGGTAGCTCCGGTATGGGAGTATTTATAATGGTCTGTGGTATGCATGTTTGCTCAGGTATGGACTGGTGGCAGCCCGACAGTCTCGTAAGGGGCGGAGTCGGGCTGCGACTCCGCCTATAGTTACTTGGGGGAGGGGGTAATATGGGGTTTTTGGCCACAACTGAATAAGGTCCAGGCCTATAGCGGTCCTTGCCAATGATAAGAGGTTCCAGGCAGGGAAGACTGGCATGTTCACTGTCCTCGTGTGGGGTCATGGTACTGTAACCATGGTCACTGTCCCCACCAGCAGGGCGGCGATATGATGTATTCACACGGTACGGTGACACACTGGCAGCGTTATCAAATGTTGCTAACACAAAATTTGTATGACCTGAAACACAAAAATAGCAAAGTAAATGATCAACACTTAAAAATACCTCTCAAGATTTTTGTCACTCCTAGACAGGTATGGATAATGGTTCCCCTGGCCTGGACAATGACTCCTAAACTTGGGAACTCCCAGTTCTATGCTAAGGATTAAGATATTTTTTACTGTGAAATTCTCAATATCCTATTTTTCTAATCATTTACAAAAAACTTTGTCTAGAATACCCGACAACAGGGAAAGGAATGTCCAAACATTTGCCCAGCATACTTGACTACTACAGAATTGTTATTTTGGTATTTTTTCTACTAAGAAGAAATTAAGGAAAACAAAGTTTGTACCTGAGCCTGGGTCGTCCGTAGGCTCCACCTCCTCCGCCTCGTAGTACTGGGACATGCGATTGGGGTTGTCGGGGAGACTGGTGATGTACTGGTGGGAATCACGGTGAATGTGGTGTCGGTAGCAGTACACACCCAGAGCCAGCACCAGAAAACATCCCATAATACCCCCCGCCACTGGCCCCACCGGAGCACTCTTCACTGGATGAGGGGGCTCTGTATAAAGCAGCGCTGAAACAAATTATCACAATTTTTTGTAATTACACTTTCACACAATCTGATATGCTTGTTTCTGTTTAGTTTTTGACATCTTCAAAACTAGAACATAACTGTTTCTGTGAAGAATGTTTAACACTGCTATCTGAATAGAAGAAAAGCAACCACCATATACATTTACGATAAGATTCTGCCAACAATGTGTCTCACCTTTTATCTGGTCACCATAAGGTGTCTGAGCACCCTCAATGCCACCAAAACACACACGCTGGTCAGCACAGTAGGATTCCTTCAGGGGAGTTAACCCATCCTCGGCCACCTGGCACCACTGACATCCCATCACTCCAATACACGTCCTGTAATCATTATACACCAGGTAACGTTTAATCTAATTGGTCCATCCAACATTAATACACAACATATCAAATTTCTTTTCACCGAAAAAACAATAACTGCTAAAGAGGGAAGTTTTAGATACCCCCAGCTTAAATCACACTTGATAATCTTCTAAACACAAGAGTCATTTATACCTATCAATTAACAAAACAAGTACAGGGGCATGCAAGACACTCATACATTAAAACCTTTCATGCTGATAGACACAATCACCAAAGCCTGTGCACCTATCATATGGAAGCTATATAAAACTATAACCTACATTTTACTGGGGCGTTCTGTACACAAGGGCCTGTGGCAGGGCTCCAGGTTTTCCATTAGTTCGACATCCAGTGGAAACAACATCTCGGGCTCTGGATACCGGGGACAGCTTGGGTTCCTGTAAAGACAAATACAGACTTTGTAACCCACAAACTCCACATGAACAAGCAGTCAGATATGCTACCTTTACTTTTTTCATTGAACAATTCCCTCACTTTTACTTTTCTTCTGGGTATTTTTTGCACATATTTTTTTTACAGATTTCTTTTACTATGTTTTTGCTGAATTAATTGATCTATGATTTTATGTTTTACTAGTTAATATGTACAGATATATTTCTTTGAGGTAGAGAGATGGGTAGATACTTACATGTCCTCTTCCTTGAGTAAGGCACCAGTACAGAAGTTCATTGCCAGTGGGCATTCACACGGACACTCACACTCGATCTGTTCCATCCTGTTGCAGTTTAAGCATAGCCGGTCAAACTGTAAGTAAAACATCAGTTATACCACACACATCAACAACCTGTTTATTACACATCCTGCCTTTTCTTAAGTTGATCGTGACAATTTAGATTTTTTTTTGGGGGGGGGGGGTGTTGTTATGTAGGCTCTTGAACTGGCGTAATTGTACCCTGAAAGAGACACACTTTGGTATTTTGGCTAATATTAATGAAGGATAAACAATCAATATCAGCAGAAAAGAAGACATATTTCAAATATCAAATACTTTTTAGTCAAACAGGGTTAAGATTAAATTTCCTATCCGAAATAGCATTAGTTTTGATAAAATAAGACTTTTAAAAATGATATCCAAATAAACAGCGTCGCATGGCACGTAAATCGGGAAATTTTTGTTTTTGTCATTATTCTTACCTTTGAATTGTCCGTGTAATGATAATCAACAGCCAATAAAGCTTACATACAATTAAATTGTCATAAAAGTATTATCAAAATAAAAATTGTACATTAAAAAGTACTTCTTTGCATTGAATGACAGTTTCTTGGGCCGTTTTCCCATAAGTGTCCGATTTGGGTACAGTGACGGTAGAGGATAGCATTGCATTATAACATATTCCCAAAAGGACACCAACTTACCATGCTACAAGGACAGAAGGCAGTGGCCGTGTCACAGGTGTGGTTCACTATGGCAATGAAGGCATTGGTACCAGGAATGTGCGTTATCTGTGAAACCATTAAAGCATGATATAAGTTATGATCTTAATAACTCTAGCACTTTATATAATAGAATTGGGCTGACACTGTTCCCTACATAGCTTCGTATTTTAATTGCTGTAAATTTTTTGTATAATGGAGTATCCCAAGTCTCAAAGATAGTGAGGATGAAATAATAGCACTCCAAATTTTACCTATCGTACAACATGAAACTTTTGTTCACAGATTTACGATTTCAAAGATGTTTTTGGATATTAAAATATAAAAGGTTTGAGGTCAGAACAATAAAACAGATACATATACATGTACGGCAAAACTATTTGTGGATCCAGTTTTATTATGACTATATTAGTTATTAATATTTTTGAATTTTCTCTAAAATTACATCAAAACTGACATAATTCAAATATCCTAAATGTCTTTAACAGAGAACAAATCAAACAGACAGGCCTGTATTTTATGAACTGAGAATACATAGTTACCATACCTGATAACGAGCGCAGTGCTCTCCGTGAACTCGGTTTGTAAGCACACCCTCAAGACTGGTGTTGAACTGTAATTAATACACCTCATTTAGATATCATTGTAGTAAAGTTTTCAACCTATAACATCATTTTTTGAGTTTTTGTTTGTTACGTTTCAGTAAAATTTTAGATGACGTCGTTACATCATAGTGACTTTGTTACATTGAAATCTATTTTACTGAAGTTTAGACATTCTAACTGGAGCTACTTATTGAATTCTTAAAGACCCATCAACACAGAAAAGATCTTTAAAGCCAATAAAAGGTAGATAATCTTCAATCTCTAGTATGAAACATTTCCTATTGAGTACATAGAAAATAATTGATCTCAATGGTTTTAAAGATGACAAAACATGGGTTTGAAGATTTATGTACCATCATGTTACAGGTATGCTGTGTATTGTTTTGCGCACCATCATGTTACCAAAATGTTGTGTATTATTTATTACCTTGTAGAACCTTTGGACTGTCCGGTCATTGTATCGGTTACAAAGTTCCTTCCTCACAAAGTGTTCATGGTTTAGGATGTCGTTGGCCACCAAGGGTTCCTAAAACCACATAAAAGTTTATCATGAATTAAAATTTGTCCTTATGTAGGTATCTCTCAAATCAATGGAAGTGAAATTCATCAACTGAACAGTGAGGTTATAAATGATAACCACCCCTATCCCCTTAAAATTTGATAAAATAAGAATCCCTTTCCTGTATTCTAAATTTGAATGTAATGAAATACTTCGTTTGGCTTTTGAAATTTCAAAATTCCACCATACATTGAAATTCTATTCTGTGTTTACCTGGTGAGTGATGTGCTGCTGCTCCACTGGACCTTTACCATTTGGCTCGATCAATGCCGGATGGGCGATCAGGTACCCAGTGTCGTCCATAACAAAACACCTAGAACCAGATCAGTATATATCATCATGTGATAGGCATTGAAATCATTTAGAATCTTTGCAAAGACGTCATGCAAATACCACCCTTTTATTTGTTCAATTATGTGCACATTAAATATTGCTTGCTTAAATGTATAAAAGTGATTGTAAGCCTTTGTTTTTTGTTTTCACAATTTTAACCATTACTATTATCCATATGTTGTAAAGCGCTTTAGAGTAATTTTACAAAATATATAGGGCACTATATCAATGTTGTATATTATTATTATTATTATTATTATCATTATTGTAACATTTACTTCTCAGATGTATTTAGGGTATGGGCTCTCTGTATACAAGGATCAACAATAAAGGCTTGCCTAACTATCGATACTAAATCAATTTATGGCCAGATAGGCCTTAGTTTCTTTGAACTTACTTGACTGTTGGATGGCGACACATGGGGATGTTCTCCACCAGTAGTTTGTAGAAGTATCCCAGAGTAATGTCCATCCCCATCACCCCAACAATTGGATCTGTGGGGTTGTGTGATGCACGTCTGTAACAAACAACATATCATTTTTATATCAGCAGGTTTTTCTAATACTTCCAAATTTCATCACTGCAAATCAGTGGACTGTTTTCCCCACAGAAATTAATTTGTGTAAACAACTAGCACGTCATTCAAATTTGTTGAATCTGTTCAAAACATAAAATATATTGGGGTCAAAATGCAAATCTTACATGTAGTATATTTTCCAACAAGTTATGAAATCATTCACTTTAGTTGAATGTTCACGAACATAGATTCTAATTTATCATTAAAACACAAGAAACACATGGATACATGTAATGTTGGAATAATCCTCAATAAGATCCATTTCAAAATTTTAATGTAATAAATAAAAATAACAAGAGGCCCATGGGCCTTAACGGTCACCTGATATATTTATACAGAGAGTTGATTTCGTTTTTAACATGAACAGAAATATTATTCAAGGTGACAAAAAACAATAAAACCACCTTATTCAATATCAAGCATACAGATTTCAGACTAAAAAGGATTTGAAACTAGCACCTCTGATTCTAAACAAGGAACATGAAGAAATTTAGCACACTGACTCCCTTGAGCCCCACCCTACAGCCCTTGGGGGTAGGGCTGGCTCAAAATTTTCAAAGTATCAAACTGTCAACTCAAGGTTATAATTCCAATCAAGTTATTAACATGTAATATTCAAAGTATCATTTGCCATTATAAACCATAATACTTTTGCCCCCCCCCCTCCTTCCCCAGGGGGGTTAACGTGAGACCCTAGGGTCATAAACCCTTAGACCCTTCCATCTATGAAGAGTATTTGATTCTACCATATCTGGGTCTTGAGAAGAAGATTTTTGAAATTTCAGTCAATTCAACCCTTTTT